CCCCCCCTCCAACCCATCCCCATCCCCTGCCGATTTTCCATCTTGTTCAGCCGTGTTCTTTAAAATTAAAGTTGTTGCAAAATCCGCACGCGAAAGAAAAAGTAGTGCATTTAGCTTGCCGTTCAATTTGCATGACCATTGCCATGCAGACCTTTCTTGACCGTCCCCACCACCCGTCACCCTTTCCTCAACGTACGCTCCGAGCAATGTCATGTTGAGTGTGATAGAAATTGCTTTGCAAGCTTTGCTCTGTTCCCGAGTTTATGCTCCGTTTATGCATCTTTAAGTTTGAATGACATTATCAATCGTATTGGCAAATTACAGCCTGCCTTTCCCCACTCCGCCCTCACAGCATCCCCCCCTCCCCCTCCCCCTCCGCTCCCTCCCTCCCCATGCTCTTACTCCTAATGGCAGATAGTCCTTTGATGATGATGATGATGCTGTTAGCTTATGTCACCCATCGATTAAGTTTCACCTCATCGACTCCCTTTTTTGTTTTTGATCATTTCATGAGTTTGCCACATTTTTGTTTTGTTGAATGTGATGAGCTATTGTTTGGTTTTTACCCTCTGTCTGTGGCATTCGTGCTCAGTGCAAAACAAGACTATTGTGATTAATTGGCCTTTGTTGACCCCACCATTGGCCTGTCTCAAGGTGTACTGTTAGACCAAGACTTACTTTATTGTTTCCCGAGTTGTACTCCTGGCTTGCAGATTCTCGTAGAAAAATAATGGCCAGACAAAGTATTTTCTGAGTAATTACAGTTCTGGCTTCAAAAGTCAATTATCGTGTTGTGTTCATTTTTAGCATAAATGAAAAAAAATAGAAAACTAGAGGCTTTTGAAAACAAAGTGATGTATGGTAAGATAAAATAACATTTGGACATTCATAGTGGTTTTTTCATAGTTTTCTTCTCTTGTAGTTGGGCTTATCACTTGGGTGATATTTGCAGGAACTGGAAAATTTCTACTATGGAAAATGTTTTTCGTAGCAATCGCTACGATTACAGGTAGTTTTTATCTTCTTTTGGAAACAAAATTTCAAAGTTCTTGCGTTTGGTAAAAGAATAAAGCGTTACTAGCGAGCCAGTAGTGCAGCCTGGTTAACTGTAGTTTGTTAATGCTTTTGTAGATTTTCACAGGGAAAGGGACATTTTTAAAATTATGTTTTTATTTAAATTTGGATGAGTGGTTGATGTTGTTTTCTATTTTTGTGTGTCTCTTGTACTTTGAATGTCTCCTGTGCACGCATCAAATACAAGCTTTGATTGGTCTGGTGTCAAGGCCTCACTAGTAGAAATGTTAAGCAGGGATGAAATAGGTCTGATGATTATGCTCATGGCTGCCATCATTTCTTGGTTGTTTTTTAAATATTATATGGTTTTATGCCATTTGTTTGGGGGGGGGGGGGGGGGGTCATTTAAAGGAAATGTTATAAAGTCATTAACAGGGTAAATCCATGCAAAGAACGTATTTGATGTACTTTGTACACCTAGAACTGATAGCTAATAATCTGACAAGAAATATAGTTGAGGGGTACCGTTTTTTCTCCTTCTACATAGTTGTATAAAACATCAGTGACTTTTCTTTGGAATCACCGCTTGTCTGTGTAGCTTTTTTTTCCATAATTATGTCTGCAGTTTCTAGGCTTAAAAAGAGTGTGCTCGCCGCGCTTCATGCAATAAATGTTAGGTAGTGTCTGAAAACTGAGAAGGGAATAGAATTCATCTCATAAATTCTCACTTGGTCCGAAACTTTAAGTGCTTTTCTTAAACTTTGAATGCACGCTTGTATATATATATATAGTCAGTCCTGAAAGGAATGGATTTTTTAAAGCTTAATGTAATCTGATTGAAGCTTGATGCGTTGCATATTTATGCTGTCTAGATGTCTGTCTGTGTTATGTTAATTGCTTTCGCTGTTGTCAAGTGCCCCATTTGTCTGTCACATGTTTACAATTTTGTTCTCTTTCATTTTTCCTCCCTGTGGACTTTCTTTATCCTGGACTCTCCCCTAGTGTTGTGTGGTTACTTTTTTTTCTTTTTTGGTTCGTTTGTTTTTTTGTTTTGGTTGTGATTGCAAAAACATTGGATTTTTTTAAAAATTGAGTGTGCTGGATGTTGTCCTCAACTCTTTGCCATGATGGTGTGTATCCAGCGGTGTATGAGCATCCGCTAGGAGAGAGCATGTTTGAACAGTGTGTGTGCCTTGTGTGTGTGTGTGTGTGTGTCTGTGTGTGTCACCTGTGATGGCTATTGGCTTGTTCCCCTGGCCTCTGTCATCATCTTTCCTCATGCCTCCCGTGTCAGTATAGCCTTGTTGTGTGTGTGTGTGCGCGCGTGTGTACTTACTGTGCATGCTTTTGCCTCTCTCTCTGTTTCACGCCTGTTGTGTCCCACCACCCCCTCCGTCCATCCATCCGTCCGTCCTGACATTGTGCTCATCACGTCACTGCTGCGGGCTGACATCTATTCCTCACCACCACCACTACTACACTCGGACGTGTGTGTACGTGCGTGCGTGTGTGCGCGTATGTGTGGCGTGCAGGCATGTTTGGAGGAGAAGGCAGCACGCCCAAGCACCTGTCGATGTCGACCAGTGTGCTGTACCACAAACGCAACCCTGAATTCTCCTCTATGAATGCCCTATCACCTGCATCAAGGCCTGAGTCTGCCCTGGGTAAGACGTGCTCTGTGACTAATATAACACGCTCGTGTGTGCACGCGCCTGCTCGTAGTGTCCGTTCTGTGTACTCAGCACCTTATTCTAACAACAGTCTGGCTGAGAATTTCAAACATATATATGCATATCTGTGTGTACCATCTAGACATATCCACGAGAAAATTATGTGAGGTTTGGCTCATAATTTTCTCGTGTGGAATTTTCAGCCAGGAATGTGAATTGTATACATGTGTGTGTGTGTAGTGTTTTCCTCTGCCTATTAAGTTAGTATACCTGCCAGATGGTCTGTCTTGATGGTGTTTCAATATCTTAAGTTTTAGTTTATAAATAAAATGAGAAGTTTAAAGACTTTAATTCTCAGCCAATATGTCATGGATACTGTTCGCCCTTGTAGATCAAGTGAGATCAAAAAGCTGTACTTGCTATAGTTACAAAGCTCCCAGTTGTTAGCTGCCTGTGTAAGCAGAACTGTGATCAGACTGTTTGACCCTTCAGGTCTCAGAACATGAGCTCAATGAGAGGAAAAATATAACATGGGAAGGTTTCATTTGGAGGGTTATTTTTAAGGTATGGAAGGCAAAACCTCCAGGACTTTTTTCCTTATTTACTCAAGCCTGTTTTTACAAGATTCAGTTTGTGACTGGGGACAGGGCCTAAGGCTGGTGGCCGGTGGGAAGGAGGAGGGGCTCAGCTAAGGGTTTGTTGACTTAACCGTGTAGACACAGACATGGGCAGGTGATGTACAGCTACAGTCTTCTTAGCCGGCCGCAGACCAGTGTGTGTGTGTACGGGAAGCAGGCGGACATGCTGATGAACACAGGCAGCAAACACACGGAGCTTATGATGAAGCGAACGCTTTCAGTTCACTCTCTAGATACAGTTAGTAGTGAGACGCACCCAGGTGAACTTTCACAACTTGGACTTTATTTAATTTGACTGACTGACTGACTTGCATCTGTTGTCAGATTTTATTTTAGGAATATGCAAAACTTTTAGAGGGTTAAGAAATCTAGGGCATGACAGCTGGCAGGTATGCTATTTCGTAACCATATTCTTTGTGACCTGTTTGCCATTGCTTAAAGAATTTTGTTTCAACTGTAAGCTATGCTACTTCCAGTATACATTATTGAGGTGCCTTATCAGTGTAAACCAACCAAATTTTGTCATAATTGATAGCCAGATTGAGAAAAAAACGGCTAATTAATTGTTATTGCCGTAATTGAAGAAGGTAAGCTTCAGGTACCTTAGCTAGGAGAGATTTTACTCTTTAGAAAACTGAAATGTGTAGGAGCAGTGTCCCGAAGGTCATGAAGCCTAGATTGTATAAAAAACACTCATTAATTTGGCCCTACTTTTTTGTGTAAGCGTCTACCAAATTTTTAAGATGTCCCCATTCACAACGATTTGGTGCATGGCTTGCTTTGCAGACAGCTTAAGACATCATTGATTGCATCACTTTATGCATGTCTTTGGTTTTATTTTAAGTTCTAAATTTATCCTTTTTTTCCCTACCCTGTTTGAGAGAATAATTCAAGGTTGCAGCAAGAATGATCTGCTTGCTCAGTTTTGTAATTATATTCAGGGTGTTCCTTTGTTTGGATGCAGCATGGGATGGGTCGCATTTTTGTTTCTAGGCTTCACTCTTTACATCTTTGATTTTTTTTTACTTGTGTTTTCAAATAAATGAAGAAAATCAAAAAGTATTACAGGGTTGAACTAAGCTGACTGTAAAAGTGAGATGAATCCATGCATATTGTACATGTCTTATAATATTTAAGAGGAGTTTGATTAGGCAGGAAAGTTTTGAGAAGACTGGAAGTTTCTTTCCTCTTTCCTGTCTTAGTTTGTGCATGTTTAGCAACATAGTGCCTCACTAGTCTGTCAACGTGTGGAAGTCTAGACTCGTTGCTTTTGTTCCTGACAAAATTAAGAGATTTGTTCTTGAATACATTGTTGTATTCATTTCGTTTACTAATCCTTTGTATCGAGCAGTGAATCTTCACACTTCAAGTCTGTAGCTTCTCTTGTAGTCCTTGCTTTTCTGACAGTTGAAGTTGAATGTAGCGCTCTATCTAAACTACACATGCTTGTGTGTCAGAGTTCACCTTTGGACACACTCTCTCTTTCTCAGTGTGCTGTGAGTGGACATGTGAGAATCTGATATATATATATAATGTGTTTGACTGCTGTGTTGTTTCCGTGTTTCTAACCAACATTTGCATCACTAAGTACCTTGTGCATTTATCGTATGTGACTGTTAGAGTATGCAGAGTCCAGGCTATGGTGGTGGAAACCTTTGTCAACATTTGTCATCATGTTACCAAATGTTCTTCTCCTTCTTCTTTCATTTTCACTCTGTGAACAAACTTTTTTGTTGTCTTTTGTCCTTATTTTTATTCTTTCTGATTTAAGTTTTTTTTTTATTCTCTTTTTTTTTCTTATTTTTTTTTCCCTTCCCCTGTTTACAACCACGTCATGATGCTGTTGATACCCTATGATGGCCCCCCACTACACCTGTCCACGGTGAACATGACATTGTCTTTTGTGGATGGTGTCATGACCCCTTGGCCCCCCACACACACCCTGCCCCCTCCCACGCACTTAATTATCCTCAAACTCCACATACTTTGAAAATTCTCACTGTTGTGGAATGGCACAAAATTCACCCCCTCTTTGAATAAAATTTTGAAAATGAATTCCAAAACATGATCCCTTGCCCTGATATGGGTACTACTTTTTGGACCACAATTCCCTTTGGAATTTTGGAATTGCCCGACCCGTCCTTGACCCCCCTCCCCTCCCCTCACGACTATTGTCGAAATTGCCCCTCCCCTGCCCATGCCCTTTGAACCCTCCCCTCCCCTCATCCCCCATGCTGGGAGTCTAGTGCTCAACACGATACCCGAAGGCAGACGGTCTTTTCTAGGCACCAGTCCGTCGTCCAGCGCCGTGTCCTCGGGCTCCTCGCCCTATCACTATTACCGGGCGTCCACGGGGGGCGTGGGCGGAGCCGCGGGTGGCGCGGGAGCCACCCCGCCTAGTCGCACCACCATGACGGCCAGTATGCCCAGCCCGGTGCGGATGCGGGACAAAGCTGGCCCGCGCAAGCAGAGGCCCGCCAGTGTGGCCTCCTCCATGCCCAGCTTTGTGGGGGGTGAGCCGGCGAAATCGCCGCGCAGCAAAAGTACAGATCGCGCGGCCAGAGGTAGAGTTGATGTCTACGGACTGGTGTGTTCTTCTTTCTTCTTTCACCTCTTTGCCTGTTATCTGCCTGTGTCAACTTTTGTCTTCTCGACTCTCTTATTTTTTTTGGTTAAAACCTTACAATTCTCATTGTGGTTTTCTTCTCCTCTCTCTCTCTTGTGATAATTTTCTGTAAAACATAGAAAGTAATTTTCTTTTTTTTCTTCTGGATGTTAGAAAAGAATTTAACTTAGCCTTCTCAGATCAGGAGGGGGTGGGGGAGAAATTGATTTTCTCTTTGCAATATTGTAGTTCTGTATGGCGCATTTATGTCAGAAACAGTGACAAGTTGTCTATGTATTCAATGGATAAGAACTTCCAAGTATCAACCTTCCGAATTGAGGAGAGCATAGACTGTAGGTTGATCCGTAAGAATGTGCTTGTTTTAATACAGGCTGGCAAATCTGTTCAAAAGTTTTGAAGATTGCATGAGGATTTGGGAGAAACATTAATTTGAGTTCGGATAAGCTTCAACAAGCATTTGCTCTCACAGGGGTTTGGTAAGAGCAGCTGCTTTCACATGTCTCGGAAAGTCGAAGCACGGAATGTTCAAATTGACAAATTTGCATGAGGTGATGGGTTCTGTGTTTGAATCTTGTTCGTCAAGTTACTCTCTTTGTAATTATAATTAGAACGTATTACGATACGGGCCTGACATAAGCCCAGTGTTATGTATCCTGTAATTGTGATACTTTATACATCTATACATATTTGTATAGTTCTCTCTACTCTTTGCTGTGGATTGTACTACCTTTGTTTCATAACGTTCTGTTTCTTGCTGTAACATGGCGATAACCCTGTGGCTATCTCACAAATATCCAGCTCATTTCCTTGCTGACTAGGATATCATTCACAATTATTAAACTTTGTCATAGATTTTACTTGTTCTTATAATTATTGTAATGGCATACTGCTAAGAAGTTAACAGTATATGGCTAAAGCTTCAGATGTAACCAATTTACAGGTATGTTTATAATTCTGGAGATCCAAGATGAATCGTAGATCCGTAGTACTTTTTATTTGATTGTTAAAAATATGTTGAAGTAAATTTATTTCCTATTCAACGTAAACCTGGTGTGTGGTGACCCATCCGTTTTTGTTCTGATTTGTTTTGGGTTTTTATTTCTATGTCTTAGTTTTTATTTATCTCTTTTCCACCGTGATAATGAAAGGAGACTATTTTTTTGTCTCTTGATAGCATTTTATAATATTTTAAAGCTTAAAAAGCTGAAAATTGTAAGTTATCATCCTATGAAGTAGTCTGATTAACCTTAATATATGGAAATTAATACATTCTGACAATTTCTGACAAAATTAAAAGCCGAGATGTCATTGGGACAGATTTCAGGTTTGCCTTTTTAAATGTTCATAATTGCAAAAGAATAAATATTTTGTTCTTTATCACTGAAATTATGAAACGTTATTGTACCCTTTGTATGGCTATGAAGATAAAGGTTGAAATAGTAGTGCTATGATTTAAGTCATTTGGTACCATGACACTTTTCTCAGTGATATGAAATAGAACAGTTATGCTAGTATTATAACACAGATCTGTCTGAAACATTGCCAAATTGATTTACTTATCAGGATATATGTGCAAAGATATTTTGCTTCAAAACCTTGTAATTTTTTTCTTTTATATTTTGAAGATGAATAGGAAAGGAAATGTTTGAATATGCATCTTTCTAAATGCCAATTCATGAAATCAGATTCCTTATGAAGTTCAGCTGAGTTCGAGTAAATGTTCAAACTTAGTTTATAAATGCAATGTGCATCAAGTTTCTGGCCTTCGTACCCTTTTCCTTCTTTCACTTGTTCCTGAGCACCATATTTTAAAGATTTATTGTGATTTAGGTAATGTGTCAATATTTTAGAATTTATAATTTGTGAAGGACTTACACTGTTTTTAGTTTAAAAGAATAGTTGTTTGCAGAGTTGTTGTAGAAGTGATTTTTTTACAGAAAGTTCTTTACTTATTGAGTTCACTGTCCTCAGAGTCAAATAGAAATGGTAAGGCGTATATTTGTGCTTTGATTCACCTAGTGGAAGAGGATGTGGGTAAGAGAAAACCAAAGACTGGGACATAAACAAGAGAGGGGGGGGGAGGCGGGGAGGTGGGAGTGAGAAAGGTTGATTGATAGAGTCTGAGTCAGGCTGAGGAGGTGGACAAAGAGATGGATTTGAAGAAAGAATGTTAGCATTTGTATGCTTGTGGGTGACAGTTTGAGAGAGAGAGAGTGTGTAGCAGCTTTCTTGTGTTTAACTAATGTAGTGAGCTGATGCCTTTTAGTTTTCCTAGGGCTGTCTTGAATATCTAACGCATCACTTTGGGTTTTGTATCAGATCGATCTAAGACTCGCCCGTCTCGGCGTGAGTCTAAGGACAAAGAGAACCTGGCCGGGAAATCTTCAAAGTCTACTCCAAGAGCCGACCACGACAAAGATGGGGACAAAGATAAGACGGATGGAGGAGAGAAGGCAGGGAAAGAGAAAAAAGGCCGAACGTCACTGTCGTTTTTCGAGAGGTTGGCCACGCCAAAGTTTCAGAAGGGCAATCAGGAGCCAGTGGAGAAGGAGAAGACCCCAAAGAAGGACGCTCCGTTAGTCAGGGTAAGCTCGGACGAGGCCCAGAGTTTTGCAGTTTCTGTGTTGTACTTTGTCGTGTGCCTTGTGCTGTTTGCTCCATGTTCTCGTAAAGTGAAAAGAGGCTTCCCAACCTGTCCAGTGAGGTAAACAATTATCACATTAAAAAAATGATTAAATTTCAAATGAGTTGTTGGAGAGTGCAACTGTTTAGGCCTACTTCTCTTCTTTCCCTCTGTTGTTTCTACTTGTACGTCTTACCTTTTCTCTGCACTGCACGACCGCTTTTGTGTCGATGTGCTTCTCTTTACTCGAAACATACAATGACATGTAAGAAAAGTTGTGGCTCCTTTCTCAAATTGATACTTTGTAATTGGACTGGTTTGGGTTGGCCTCTGAGACTTTCAAAGTAGATATGCTCTCATATTGGACAATTCCTCTTGCACTGTTTTGCAATGTTGAAAGTTGAATAGAAATTGCTTTTCATGTTGAAAATGCTTGAGAGCTTTTTACATTGTAAGCGTTGTTGAGTTTCTCCCACAGTGTCAAGCTTTAGGATTCTCAGCACTGGTCTGCCAGTCATTGTTGCACTCAGGTCCCATATTTTTCAAATGTTATTTGCTGTTCAGATTTCCTCATTTTAGAAGTTACACAGTTTTACATTTATTGTTCATTGTAGTGGCCTCATAATAAAGATGTAGTGTCGACCGTCTGTGTCGTTTTTATGGCTATATATTTGTACCCTCACACACATACACAGTGTGTGCTATCCATTATCTAGTAAGTTCCAGCAGTATTGGAAGAAATAAATGTCACCTTTGAGATATTGATTATATATACTCTGTGCTGGCTGTTATAGATATCAAATGAGCACATGGGCCTACGGCTGATGTCAAATAGGCCGTGGTAGTTCAAAGCAACTACATGTGCCAAGCTGCATGGGTGTGAGTGGGACAAAGCAAGAGACACTGCCTACTGTGACTTAAACAAGTTGCTTTTCAGTGTTCGGTGTGCACCTAATATGAGGCAGCTGAGGCGTCAGAGCTATCTTAATTCGTATTTGGCTTTAGTATTTTTCTTGTCTTACGTAAAAGATTGAAACCTTTTTTTATCCTATGTGTCTGTAGACTTACAGTATTGTGCTGGTCTTACAGAGAAGGGTCAGAGATTTTTAAAAAGTTGTTTTGCTTCAAAGTGAAACATATCTTTATTTTTTGGAAGTTCAGTCTAGTCAAGACAGACCTTGTGTAAAGCTTCTGACAGAAATGGCCAAACTGAAAGTAAATGACTCCTTTTTTTTCCAAAACCATGATTTTTTCATGATGAACTGGCATATATATTGATATGTGCGTTGCCGGACCCGTGTAACAAAACTGACCCTGTCAATGGTATGCCACGTTTCAGGTTCAGTTTGCTGATGATATTGTTCATGATGGAAGCGCAGAACCAGAGGTTAAGAACATTTTCCTTGTTCACCCTCTCCCTCCTGTTTTCTCACCACCCTGACCCACCACATATCATCATGCTTTGAAGTTTTGTTTCTACCCGCAGAGAGTAGACGATAATAACACGGACTGGCTAGTTTCTGTTTGATTCTGTTACTGTAATTTTGGGATGAGAAGGCGCACCACTGTTTCAGTCACATTCCACTCGGTCAGAAAAGAGATAATTCAGTTTAAAGTCAGACTGGAGCTATTACGCTCACCTCAAAAAAGATTAAATACACACTTCAATTACGGTCATGGGAAACCTCACAAGAGTATTTTTTAGCAAGCCACGTGTTGGACTTGATCTTACATTAAAAAAAAAATTTTGATGATCTATTGCTGGGGTGTTCTGCAGACTTGAATTAAGCTGTAGGTGATGTTTAATTTTCTTTTGCTCTTCCAAATTGGAAATGAGTCTGGGGTGAAGGTGATGATGGAGTGCGTTGGCTTTGTTCTACAATTTGGGCAGTGTTTTAGGTTTTTTTTTGTTTTTTGTTTTGCATTTGGGGGGGGGGGGGGACATGAGCGAGTGCATTGACTTTATTCTATTCTACAGTTTCAGTAGTTTTCAAATTAAAAAATAATTTTTGTAACGAAAAGGGGAAAAGAAGACAAGTAAAGGCTGTGCTGGGCTCGATGGTGTAACTGAAGGTAAGGTGGAGCTGAGATATTTAAGTTGAACAAATGTAGTTGTCACTGACTTTCTCAAATACGAATAACATAATAAACATATAAACATGGCTTTCGAAAAAGGGAGAGGATACTAAAAAAACCAAAAAAACCAGAAGACACTTAAGTGTTAATCAGGTGCGCTTTATCATCCGGAAATTACAGCAAGTTTTATTCCGTAGAGGATTGCAGCGCCTGCTGAGTTTCTTTTTAGTGAGCTGCGTATCTGTCACAGCCACACTGGGGCTGCTTGGGCTGTGGTTTGTGTTTTTGCTTTCTACACACACACACGTCACACCATGTCACGCCATGCCACTTCATGTCACAGTTGTTGCCTGGGCTCAGCTGTTGGGAGGGCCATGGATGTGAAGTCATTGCCTCAAATATTCTAATCACGCTGCAGATGAATGATGAATGCATCACAAGCCATTGATGGCTGCTTGTCATGTTTTGTTGAGATGTGGAAAAGTTGGGTTTAGACGTGTGTGTATTTATATATATATATATATATATATATATAGTCTCTTCTGTTCTTTTACATCACTGAAATATTTATTGTGTGTGCGTTGAATCATAATGACTAGGCTAGAACTAATGAGTCACACATCAAAATGAAAGTGAGGAATGAAGATTTGAGCCACTGAGCATCTTGCAGTACGTCCATTCTAATAATTGTACAGACCATTTGCTTGCTGCAAATATGCTCCTTTGACAAACTATTGTATTGTGTGGGAGGAATAGCTCTAAGTTCAACTGTGTCTGTGGTGCCATAGATACACGCTTCACTATTGCAAGAAAAAGACCTGAGTTCAATTCCCATGTGGGGAGAATGTTTATCGAGTATCTTGGTCTTTCTGTTGGGACATTGTTTCCCTCTCAGCCTAGCTTGGGCCTGACAAGCAGGGTCAAAGCCCGCCTCCTAAATAATTTAATTTGTGTTGATGGTTGCGTAAAAAACATGTACATCAAGTTCAGGGTTGGTGTCATATTACTGTCATCACATGATACAATATAAGAGAGGCAGAAGTTTTTATCATTCGTCTTATTCTGTTCCATTGAAGGATAAACAGATTTAAGTTCATAAAGAGTCAAGCAGAAGTTGTAATTATTTCATGTATTTGGGGCCAAAGTAAACAGCCTCTGTCGATGGAGGTGTAAAATAGTTAAGAGTTATAAACTATCTCTTACTTCTGTTCTTCCTAAATTTGAATAATATTCTGAGTTATTTTCTTTTTAGCGAAACATTTTGTGCCCACTCATGGATGCTGAAATCAGATTCTGCCTGATTTCGGAAGATGTATATGTTAGTTTCCTTCAATAGTTGAAAATGGGAAGTTCCACTCGTGTCATTTTGAAAACTGTGGCCAGAATAGCTGTGATATTGGACAAGTGTTTATCTCATGCCGAGCAAAATTGAAATGAATCACTCTCTGCTCACCAGTTCATCTTGCCAGCTGTATGCTGTGTGCTCCTATCCTGTTCTGCTCACAGACTGACTGTGTGATTTGTTTCCCTTCACACTAGCAAAATTCTTTCGTTACTAAATGTTGGAGCCTGTTGATGCATGGTGCACTCATGCACTTAATAAGAAGACCAAAGAGAAACCTCATCAGATGCCTAGATGTTCAGCATGGCTATGAATGCATGTTTATGTCACATTTTGTGCTTTCTGTGCCTAAATATTTCATGCGAGTCCCCACTACATGAATGGGAATGAGAAGACACTCATGTCAATCTACTGAGAGTCCTATAGACAATACTCAATTGTGGCCGCTCCTTGCATCTTCAGCTTTGTGTTTGACATTATGTGCTGAGTAAGCATTCAGTACTGCATCCTTTCTCACCCCCCACCCCATGCTCTCCCCTGCTATTTATGTGTATACTCTATGTTTCAGATATTATTGATGATAAGATGCCATTATATCGCTACCTTAGAATTACAAAGTTCTATCTGACTTTTTGGCCGTTTAGAGTTACTAAGACCATGATGTCAAGACACCAAATGTTCTATCTGCTCTATCAAAATCGTAAAATTACTTTGATCAAGATATTCAAAGAATTGCTTTCGAAAAAGCTTGACGTGTTGTGAAACTAAAAAATTTTGACGTCAAATTTCTCAAAACTAGGTACTGAGCAAATAGAACTTTGTAATTCTAGGGTAGTGATATGTTGTTTGCTAAGCTTGTTTTTTGTTTTCTTTCTTGCCTTTGATTCCTAAGTGCGTGTCCCCTTTACGAGATATGTATAGTATAAGTAATGTTTTTATGATGTGTAATACGTGTTGTTTTATTACTGACTGTTAATGCGTGTGAGAGGAACCTGTGTTACTCTTCCCTGTCTCCGTGTGTTGTGTGTAAACATATGATGCTGCATTGTGCCCAACCTTCTGCTCTACTGGTCTCTTTTTTTTTGTGTTTTTCTGCGCGTCTGGCAGCTTTCACCACGGAAAGCATACTCCACAACCAATCTTGCCACCATACGGAAGGTTTGCATCATGTCTCCTTATTCATCCTACCACATTTCCCCGCCACTCATTATGGTGATCCCATATTCACCTGCATGTATTACACACTTTCACCTGTTTTGCTGTTCACGCCAGACCTATGATAAAGCCTGTGTGGGAATGCTAGGGTCCTGCTGCGCAATGCTCTATTGATTATCCAATATGTCTCTTTAGCAAAATTTGACAAAAGATTTACCCTGTTTTACTCAGATTTTGACTCTGAAAACTAAACGGCTCCCTTGTATAATGTCTTATGTTTTGTGCCAGAAAAATGTTTTAAATAATTCATAAAAAAAAGAAAGAAATAACCAAACTATTATTCAACCATTGCCAATTGAAAGAGTTAATGAGCTTTAAAATGCGCTTTCTATGATGTGTAGACAGAATACAGAAATTCAAATTAATGTAATAACATGAGCAAAGTGCATTTTCTTCGTCTGAGAAATAATAGATTTGAGGAAAGAGTTTGTGAAAAAGTAGCATACAATCGAATCTGTCCAAGACAGCCTTTTGTCATGAAGGAGAAAAGTGGTCCTCTTGGACATTGTCATGATCATATAATATATAAAAAACACAAGGATGAAAATTGGAAGTGATCATTTGTACAGGTATTTGCCTTGGATAAGTGATCGTTAGAGCAGGTTCCATTGTATTTTAAGTGGAGCATTGCTGTAGCTATTATGGGATCATTTACTATTCTCAGAGCTTCATTCGCTTTTGTGTCAGCATAAAGAATACCAGGGTTTATCATATGTTTGCCTTCCGTGATCAATATGCCCTTGAGGTCCCATGTAGTGCCTTTTCTTACCAATCACGTTGCTGCTCACATTGTTGTGTATAGTTTATTGGTGTTACACTTGTGAAAAAAAATATTTAACAATTTTAATTGATCTTCTTCTCTAAAAGACAGGTTGAAAGTCAGTATATGCCCAATAATTGTAACATGTTTTTATTAAAATTCAAATTAAGTCTGGAGTGTGAGTTATGCTCTGGGAAAAAAACAACAGATTAAAAAACAATTTTTTGTTGGCTCATTTAGTTTTAATTATGTCGTTGTTTTTAAACATAGTCCAGTGTATATGTGAACTCATCTACACTGATCGCACAATTCTGCATGACTGCTGTACCTGTGCTGGCGGACATTTGATTTTCCTCCATTCCTTTCTTACTCTGAAATGGACAATACAGAAACATTGATGTAGAGAATCTTTCCTTTAGGAATATTACTTCTAATGGCTTTTGAATTTTAATATTTGTGAAATGAAAGAGCAAGTGAAAGTATAGTTGTAAAGTTAAATGCTCATGTTACAGAAATGTGATGAAGTACACTGGATTGTGTGGAGTTTATTGTGGGCTGGTTATCTCTCTTTGAAATATATTGGCAAAAACGAGATATGGGGAAGAATGTTTGCTAGGTTTTACATCTTTACCCTTGTATTGTCCTGACTTTAAGAAATTCTTCTGTAAAGAAAAACCTCTCTGATGGTATGTAGTCCTGATTTATATGTTGGGTTCTTTCTGCTTTCTCATTACATACTTTTTTTTTCAAATGTTATAGAGTAAGCTTATAGTTCATTTTTTCAAAAGTAGGATTAACAATAAAAATCATAAGAAATATAATCATAGCTTAGCACTCTGCTCTTATAAAGTACAATATTGTCCTGACTTTGAACATTTCACTTGAAAAGAAATATATGTCTGGAGAAAGTGTATATGGTCCTAATTTTTCTGGGTTGGATTCTCTCAGCTTTCCTCTCCCGGTTCTTCCAATATTATTTACACCATGCTCTTTGACGCCTGTGAGCATGCTTGTTTATTGGTTGCGTTGATATTCTTTTCCGGTACCGTTTTACTACTGTCTGCTTCACTGTCGGGGTAACTGTGGTTATTTTATGGTGGTATTTTAGCCATTCATCTGCTGTTTCTGAGTAGGTGCCAGGATGGTTGGATTAGAAAATTGATCTGATGAAGGCTGTTCCTAGACACTTAGCCTAAAAATAGTAGAGGTGTTAACATTGTAGTCTTGGGTACCTCACTCACTTCTGATGTAAATCCGATTATCTGATGTGTAGATGATTTATTTATCCTGTAAACATCTCTATCTGCATGTAGCGAGGTAAGCATCCTTTAGGACGTAACTCCAGTAGCCCTGCTGAGCATGCTATTTAACCCATTGTTTACTACTTGCCCATTGAGAATGAGCTATCCTCCTCCTGCGAATTTTATCTGTTTTCAGGCCCTGCACCTATAATTCAGGGTAGTGTCAAAAGAACAGTCGCCCTGTTGATTAAAAAAAATAACTGTCTTTTGTTTTTTCTTAGAAGAATTTGATCAACTATCCACTAGTATAGCTTATTAGACACATCGTCCCTTTGAAGCCCTCTCTGGTTTCCATTGTCAGATATTAGCATCTTTTTAGTTAAGACCAGAATCAAAGGAGTGATAAAGACTGAAGTACAGGTTTGACTTTGTCACCCTACCACCTGTTGTCCACTGCCTAAAAGGTTTGAGTTGTGCTGTGCTGCTGTGTCACAGCGCCGCTTGTCCTGTGTTTGCCACACCTGAAGGATAATTAAGCAACAACACGTTAACAAAGACCAGAATTAATTATGCCCTGAAATCCTGTACACGAATCATGATTTAAATTCCTTAAATATTTGTTTATAAGAAATAAAATTTCTACCACTCCTGAATGATAATTAAGCAGTAACACGTTAACAAGCAAAGACCTGAATTAATTATGCTCTGAAATCCTGTACAAGAGTCGTGATTTAAATTCCTGAAATATTTGTTATGAAGAAATAAAAGTTTCTACCAATGTTGTTTTTTTCATCCCAAACACATTGCCTTTGTGGATAATAATATTTCTACAGAGCATTATTTATTGACACTAGCATCTTTTCTTGACATGTGCACAAGCGGTTGTTGGTTTGATTCCTGACGTTCATAGACAGCCCTGAGGCAAGACTTCTGTAGCGTTAGTACGAAGTAGTGAGAAGATATATCCTTCAGGAAGGAATACGTTGTGGCACACAACAGGACATAAGTTATCAGCTTGCAGCTTGGAAGTTGTTGCTGGATTGACCCTGTTTTGAATGTCGACTTTAACATACTTTGACATTTCACATTTGGTGTTTTATAGATAGCTTTATCATATATCTAAAAACCATAATATGCGCAAAATCTGCATTTGTAATGAACTTGTATGAGTATTCATTATCACATGCTTTTAACATAAACTATTGCAGAATTCTTGCAAATTTTTTATCTGGAACACAAATTTCATTACAACTAATACGCTTGCATTATTACTGCTACGATCAGTAAAAGCAAAATTTCTTTTGGTATGTATGCTATTGCAAGTATATGTATTATATTTTTTTAGAACAAATTCATTTAGTAATCTAGATTAGATTTGTAGCAATTAAAGGATAGAACACACTGGTATATTTTGTGTTAATATGGTAGAGCCCTCCAGTAAACTGTTCCCAAAAGTATCACTGAAAATTAATGTCCAGTGATTTTAATAGTGAATAGTTGTAATCAGGTATCTGAATGGTTTGTATGGGTATACTTCAAAGTATACGCTTCCTTCAAATCATTTATGTATTAGTCAAATACATTTCTCATGTTTCTCCCTAGATTGCAGATTTGATTTTCTGTTTATGATGTCAAACATAGCACTAATAGCTTTATCATATATCTTGTTAAAAGAATTTTGCCTGAACAATATTTTGTCTTCTGTTGCCGTTTGAAAATTTCTTCCAAGGACAAAATCCTGTTGCACAAGGCGTGCTAGACCAAGTCTGCTTGGTGCTGCATGGCCCCATTGCATGGAAATATAATTTGGAATGTTTTCTATGAGTTTGTTTTTTATCGGTATCAATTGAGACAGCAAAAATGAGATTCGGTAGGTTTGGAACACTTGGTTGGAATGCTTTCTAAGCCGTGTGTCGTTTGCTGACAGTATATAAGAATATATCTATCTTTAAAACATGTGGTTTGTCTAGTGATTTTGTGTGTGTGTGTGTTGTTGTTGCAGTAGTGTTTTAAACATATTAATATTGTGGGTTTTTAATTAAAAATTGTTGTTTCTTTCTTGTTTTCCTTGAACCGGGACATAAAGAATATGGATCTGACACTAAATGTTGTTGTTATCGATCCAGTGATCTAACACTGAAGGAAAATGTGTTTTAACAATTCGAAATATATCTACTTCTACACAGAGATCTTCTCTCAGAGAAAAACCCAGCCCGGCTAAGGAAAAAGAGGCTACGGCGGCAGCCCCCAAACCGCCGGCAGCCAAACTGACACCCAAACACAGCCCAGCCAAAGAGGCGTCATCCTCGTCTCGAGGGGCCACCTCTGGCCCGGCTAGGTCGGCTTCGCCGTCGGGGGGAAAATCTTCGGCCACATCCACCCCACGCGTGACCCCGCCCCCTTCTGCCAGTGCCACACCGGTTCCCACGGCAACATCTGCGTCTGCTACCCCAGCAGAGAAACATTCTGCTGGAGAGAAACATTCTGCTCCAGAGGTAATTGTCCTCTGTGGCCTACTTTTCTTTTCTTTCCGATAACTAAATACCATGAAAATAAAAAAAATGTAAATGACAAATGTGTTTGTTCAATTCAATGTATTATGTAATTTTATCATATTGTTTTAATTTCCAATTTTGGTAATATTGGTTCTAAGGGTTGATATTAGATGATCTTTTGAAGATACCATTTTTGTTGAGGCTGAACAAGATAAAAATTTATAACAGTAAAATAGTCGCATACATAAAAATCAGTTGCGCTGCATGTTGAAGAACCAACAGTCCTGAGATCTAGCTGGGGACCACAAAGAAGAAACCTGCAGTAAATGCATTTCTGATCTGATGGTTTGGCTACTCGTCTCAAAGTTTGAAGCTCATAGATTTAGTTCTTTGCTGCTCTTGGTCCATCATTGTGTAGGCCCTATTTTAGAAAGCTGTGAACTGAAAGTGTTAAATCATTATCAGTCTTCAGACTGGATCTAATAACAATCTTGTTGGTAAGTTTTTGTCACCAGATGACAGTGGTTTATTACTCCCTTGTAGTACCTCTAATTTACGGCACTTATATGACCTTATTGTGTTGCAAGTGCCGTAAGGCTCATACGAAAAAAACCCAAAAAACTATTGATGAATCTGTACATGCTGTGCTTATATCATGTTAGGATGGAACCACGACCCCCCGCACTTCCAGCGGCCCTCAAGACATCACGGCTGAGGAGTACAAGGCTCGACTGGCAGAGAAGCGCAGACAGGCTCGGGAGAAGGCCGAGAGAGAGGCAGAAGAGGAGAGGAAGAGACAGGAGGAGGCCAGGTCTGTGATAGTTGTAGCTTTGCTGTTGCTAGGGAAAAGTTAGTTGTTCTTATTCATAGTGCTCTTATGTTCATAATGTGGTGTGCATACCGTCATCGATTGTGCTGTGATATTATTAATGTCTATGTGTTTATGTTAATCTAAAGGGTATATATGCAGTTGCGAGCGCCATAAAACCTCTTTAAAAAACCTTAAAAAACTGAAGAGTATAGTATATGCACGTTCATATGCTTGTATTTTGTGTTAAGGTAAAGGTTTTGTAAAGTGGGCAGAGCTGTATTTTAGGAGTGGCAGCCTTAAAAATTATCTGAATTATTATTATATGTTATTATTATTATTATTATTATTTGTATTATTATTCTTATTATCATCATTATCATTTTTGTTTTTATTGTTTTTATTATAATAATTGATATTGCTCTTATTATTGTTGCTGTTGTTGTCCAGTCACTGATCTTAGTTGTGGTGCATAGTGCCGAATAAGTGGTCTAAATTACGTTGATGGGGGCAAATAACATCCACAATAACAATTACTCTTCTCGTCATTCCAGATTGGCCGAGGAGGAGCGTATGCGTCTGGAGGAGGAGGAGCAGCGTCGTCAGGAGGAGGAGTCCCTCCGTGTGGCTGCCGAGGCCCGCAAGGCTGAGGAGGAGAGGCTGCAGAGGGCTATAGAGGCAGAGGAGAAGAGGAAGAGAGAAGAGGCGGAGAGACTGGAGCAAGAGAAGAAAGCTGTAAGTGAAACAAGATTGATAGTTCCTATGTTTTAAAATAGTCCCTTTGTTTTATTTTTTTTTTCGAGGGGGGGGGGGGGGGGGGGGTGGGGGGTAGATTTTTTGTTGTTGAGATTTTGAAATTTGTCATGAGCAGTTTGGCATTGTGGAGTGCCGAAGGAGAAGAGAGGTGGGGCTGAAAATTGTAGTTGAAAAGCTTTGTACAAATTTGCTTTTTGAGATGCAAGGAAAGTTAAAGGAAGCCGAGACCTGTGGATGTAAAACTCTTGTTTCTACCTCCTGTGCTGCTGAAAGGGGAAAAAGAAAATAAAGAAAGCTGGTGCAGCAATTTGGCAAGTTTTAAATCCAAAGTTTGTAGGATGTGCAATGTCTAAAGCAATGGGTTTCTAGTTGGTCTCTCACTCGTAAAGCGATTTGCAGAATTTTTATGACATGTTGATATTGAATATATAGCGTTCATATTATTATCCAACTTTTGTGTCTTGCAGAAAGAGATTTGATTTCCAAAGTGTAGGGTGTGCATTGTCATAAGCAATGGGTTTCTCCCTGGTCTCCCACTCCAAAAGCAATTTGTAGATTTTTCTGACTGGTTGATATTGAATATATGGCATTCATATTATCCTACTTTTGTGTCTTGCAGAAAGAGGAGGCTGATAAAAAAGCGAAGGAAGAAGCTGAGAGGCTGGAGAAGGAGAAGCAGGAGAGAGCTCGCCGGGAAGAGGAGGAAAGACTTCAGAGGAAAAAGGTAGGCTTGCCGGACTGCCTTGTGATAAATTGTGATCTGGGCTACTTTTGTCTCTGACCTTGTTGTTTTTACATTTTGAAGACAATAGGCACTAACCATAAAGCTCAAAATTTTTCTTTTGTTGCTTATGTTTTAGATAATGAGGAATCTTCATACATGGGGGGGTGTTTGGCAGGTGCTGTGGCGTGGTTTGCTCCACCTACCTTTCCTTTCAAACGTCAATCATCCTGATTGTTGCTGCTTTTTCCTTCCTCATCCGTCCTATTGTCATTTTACCTCTGCTTTCTTTGTATGTTTGTCACTCTTTTGTGAACTGCTATTTCGGGGTGCCTTGATAGTTGAAGCAGACTTTGTGCTGTTGAGGCTCGAGAGGTGAACAAACTAAGCGTGATTTCGCACTTCGGCTTCTGTTTACATCCTCCCCTTGGCGCTCATATGACCTTATACAGTTGGAAGCGTTGTAAAACCTTATTAAAACAAACTGATTTCGCCTCCTAATCTTTAGCACTTATATGACTTTATGTTGCAAGAGCCGTAAAAACTCTTACTAAACTAAAAAGCAAAACGTCATGGCTTGTGTTTTCTTTATTTGTCTTTCCCCAGAAACTCGAGATGATCATGAAGCGTGTGAAGCCTGATGCCAGCAATGCCGGTAGTCCTGCAAGTGGTGGTGGTGCTGACTCCAGCCTGAAGGCGGAGAGCCCGACCAAGTCTATGAGCTACTCTCCCAACGTGAGCATAGTGGGGTCTTCACAGAACTCCCCGGAGGAGCAGAGCAAGCCCATCGTGCCTCCTGCCGCTGCGAACGAAGAAGCCTCCGAAGACAGCCACAAGGCCGCTGCGGGTACTGTGGAAGAGCAGAGTTCAAGGGAGACAACTTCTTCCCCGTCTACCGTGACCGAGCAGGGTGGAGAGTCATCCGATGCTGCCACATCTGGAGTGACCGTCGGCTCGACTTCTACCTCCTCGGTGATGGAGACTTCCATGACTGCGTCTTCGTCCTCCGTGCCGGTGTTTCGTAGCGCGTCTTCGGGAGATATCCTGGACGGAGCCTCAACTCACGAAGAATTCCGGGAGCAGGACAAGGAGGAGCTTCGTATGTCCAGCAGTGTGATCAGCACCCCAGTCAGGTCGGAGAACTCGAAGAGCCCGGCCCCAGAATCAGTCTCGGACGGGAGACCCAAGTTCAAATCCCCTCTCCTGCAACAGCTGGTGGAGAACAAAGGCGGAGACTCGTCGTCCTCCTCCTCCCCCAAGTTCAAGTCCCCGCTTCTGCAGAACCTGCTGGGCAAGACCAAAGTCGGAGCTCGCATGGGCCTGTCTGCCAGTATGGGTGACCTGAGCCAGAACAAGGACACACCCGGTGGCGGCTCTGCCTCCCACAACAACCTCAGCACCATGGCCTCCTCCTCCGACGGGAACAGCTCCTCAGGCTCGGACAAGGAGGTCTCCAAGCAGGGAAAAGACGAAGACAAAGATGAGGACACGCTGGAAGCCAACCGGGCCAGCGGCGCGATGACGTCGTCTGTCACTACCAAGTCTTTCGATTCTACGATGACCGAAGGTCACCACGGGGTCAGCAACGGTGTGGCGGAAGATTCGGTGGCCACCAGCGTGAAGTTCCCGTCGTCAATGATGAGCGACTCGGCCCTGGGCACCAGCATAGAGCCGCATCTGGACAGCCCGAGCGCTGGACCCATGACGCAGTCCACTGTCTTCAATGGACACTCGGAACACAAGAACGGTCTGGAGGACTCGAGGTAGGCCGCTTTTCTTTCTTCTTCTTCTTCTTCTTCTTCTTCTTCTTCTTCTTCTTCTTCTTCTTCTTCTTCTTCTTCTTCTTCTTCTTCTTCTTCT